TCGTATTTAGGCTCTATCTGATGAGGCGAAAGCACGGTACGAGAAGACAACATTTAGAGTTGTTGATTTGGTAAGCTTCTTTTTCTTATTTTGTGTTTTGAGTTGTGGTGATCTTTTGGTGCATTCTACTTTTTGTTGACGAACTATGATGCTGACATTTGGAGTTGGACCTTATTTCGTAGGATGATTATGCAGCCGACGATGAGGAGTACGAAGAGAAATTGAAGAAAGAGTCCCTCGCTATCTTCTTCTTGGCAACGTGAGTTTCAGCACACACAAGCTTTTCTGTTTATCTGGATCGCTTGTCTTGAGACCAAGATTTAAGTTTGTTTTCTAGCCTTTTAAAGTGGTTAATTGGTGAGGAATGCAGGTATGGCGATGGGGAGCCCACTGATAATGCCGCAAGATTCTATAAATGGTTCACAGAGGTAAATTTTTTATGGCATGTTTGATTTTTTGCGGATGACTATAATTGTTTATCTGATTTGAATATGCATGTTTATAGGGGAAAGAAGAGAGAGGGGAGTGGCTTCAGAACCTTCAGTATGCTATCTTTGGCCTTGGCAACCGACAATATGAGCATTTTAATAAGGTTTTGAAACTTCTTTCAATTTTCTAGACGTTGATTGTTGAATACTGTATTGGAATCTGGTTGAAATTAAAAGTTGTTAACAAGTTTAGGTTGATCTCTTTGGTTGTTGACAAACAGATTGCAAAGGTAGCAGATGAGCGGCTTGAGGCACAGGGTATATTCATGCCTTCTTTATTTTCATTTTCTAGGAGTCCATACCAAATGAATTCTTGAAAACATTTTAAAGCTCAAGGGCAGATTAATGTTTTGAAAGATAAATTTAACTTATCAAGTTTACCGATAAGATATTTTATTTTGTTTACAGGAGGCAAGCGCATTGTTAAAGTTGGTCTTGGAGATGACGATCAGTGCATCGAGGATGACTTCACTGCTTGGTACAGAGAAAGTGACTTGGTTAAAGTTACAGAAGTTTGCTAAATAAGATTGCCCCCTCATACTTCCATTATCTTCTCTGTTTTTAGGAGAGAATTGTTGTGGCCTGAGTTGGATCAGCTGCTTCGAGATGAGGATGATGCAACAACAGTGACCACACCTTACACAGCGGCTGTATTAGAATATCGAGTTGTATTCCATGATTCTGCAGATGTAGCTTCTGAGGACAAGAGCTGGATTAATGCAAATGGTCATGCAGTACATGATGCTCAACATCCATTCAGGTTGTGACAATTCGTTATATTGAATTTTAATTCGTAATTGGCACCACCTTGCCCCTCTCTGGAATTTTTTTTCCTAATTAAGTGAAAAAAAGTAGAATGAAATCTAACTAGTTGTTTTCTCCCTTGAAGATCTAATGTCGTTGTGAGGAAAGAGCTCCATACTTCTGCATCTGATCGCTCCTGTACTCATCTAGAGTTTGATATTTCCGGGTCTGCGCTCAAGTAAGTGGCCTTGACTGGTGTTTATGAGGTTCTTTGGGTATACTTCTTCACAACTCTTATTATTTACCGAAATCTTGTGGGGTAGGTTGCATAGATGAAATGTAGGAAAGACGAAATATGGAGTGCAATCAATTGATACCACAATTTATAGGCAATTAATAGATACTGCAATTTATTAGCATTACAATGCCTTAAACATCCGTTCTCTTTCTCAGATATGAAACAGGGGATCATGTTGGTGTTTACTGTGAAAATTTAACTGAGACTGTGGATGAGGCACTAAACTTATTGGGTTTGTCTCCTGAAACGTATTTTTCCATACATACTGATAATGAGGATGGGACTCCACTTGGTGGAAGCTCTTTACCACCTCCTTTCCCATCCTGCACCCTCAGAACAGCATTAACTCGATATGTAGATCTCTTGAATTCACCCAAGAAGGTTGGTGTCTTTTTTTGGAATTATTACTTCATGCTTCTCATTCATTGGGGAACATATCTGTTATTTGAGCTGACTAATGTAATCTTAATGTATGCATTTTCAGTCAGCATTGCTTGCATTAGCAGCGCATGCTTCAAATCCTGTGGAGGCTGACCGATTAAGATATCTTGCATCACCTGCCGGGAAGGTGGTGAATTTAACATGGATATATAGAATGATAGATTGGATGCTCTCGTACTTCTCAAATGTCACTCACTTGTTTGTTTGGTTGAAATTTTGTAGGATGAATATGCCCAGTCTGTGATTGGTAACCAGAAAAGCCTTCTTGAGGTCATGGCTGAATTTCCTTCTGCCAAGCCCCCACTTGGTGTCTTCTTTGCAGCTGTTGCACCACGCTTGCAGCCTCGATTCTACTCTATATCATCATCTCCAAGGTATTTACAGTTTCCCTACCTTCTTCTTTAGCATTTTTAATAATCTATTCTAAATTCTATAGATAAATTTGGCAAATCACCCAAGAGAATCTTGTCTGTGATTAGAATGAAGGCATTTCTAGTGCTATGTTTATTTTTCATTACATAGATGTAGGTGTGCATGGGTATAGAAGTTCTACTTGGTTTCAGTTGGTTAAAAATCAAATTTATAAAATTCTCTTTGGGTAAAGCACATTGTGAAGATTAGTCACAAGGAAGGGAATGTAAGTTTGGATTTTAGCGGGACTTTCATGGGAATAAAGTTTTGATAGCCGTACAGTGAGAGAAATGTGATGTTTGGTCGAAGGTTAAAATTTAGGAAAGAATATAATTTTTCATACCTTGTTCTTTACAAGACACGTTACTGTTGAGTTGTTGATATCTGTATTTTTTGCACTTAACAGGATGGCTTCATCTAGTATTCATGTTACTTGTGCTTTAGTCTATGACAAAATGCCAACAGGGCGTATTCATAAAGGAGTGTGCTCAACTTGGATGAAGGTATGCTTCATTTATTTCTTGCTTCCGTGTCCAAAGATGAATCTGATATAATGCACAAGAATCTATAAGAGTTACTCAAGATTATTGAAGAGCAATAACCCTGAATAATTGGTTTTTCTGAGCAACTTGAGATGGTTCTTGGTGAAGGATTCCTGTTAAAAACTTGAAACATCATGGATTATCTTTTCCTACAATTACTTGGTGGCTATCGGTTTTAATATACTAATAAGTGAAGGTTCTCCACTTAGAGAGAGGTTCTGGGGTGATTTCTGACCTTACTGGATCTATGATAACTATGTGCTTGAAGGAGCTTTATTATTGTCAAATTCATGTTTTATTCTGATCGTCTATGTTGTTCTTCAATTCTCTAATTGGTGCAGATAAAATTTAGTGCTTCAGCTCATAATGTAGGTCACTTCCGTTGGACTTTGGAAATTTATTTAATAATTTTTCCTCATTCTTCAGAATTCTGTGCCCATGGAGAAAAGCGATGAATGCAGTTGGGCTCAAATTTTCGTGAGGCAATCAAACTTCAAGCTTCCTGCAGATAGTAAAGTGCCGATTATCATGGTTGGTCCCGGAACTGGGTTGGCTCCTTTCAGAGGTTTCCTACAGGTACCTGCGAACTTGCTTTTGAGTCTCTTGGCTTACTTCTACATGACTTTTGTGATCCTAAATATTAATAAATTTGAACTTCTCAATTTTCAGGAAAGATTAGCTTTGAAAGAATCTGGAGTAGAATTGGGGCCTTCCATATTGTTCTTTGGATGCAGAAACCGTAGGATGGTATGCCAAGTTCTCAAATTCAAGTTTTTAGTCCGGCTGTCGAAGAAAATATTATTCATGGATTTTTTTACCTATTCATTTTGCATATTCTTTCTGAAGGATTACATATACGAGGACGAGCTGAACAACTTTATTGAAACTGGTGCTCTCTCCGAGTTGGTTATTGCCTTCTCACGGGAAGGGCCAACAAAGGATTACGTGCAACATAAGATGGCAGACAAGGTGAAAAGATTAACATATTCAAGGGTGTGACCTATGATTCTGAGTTCATAGAAGATATTAAAGCACCCTTTTTCTTATTCTGCAGGCTTCCGATATCTGGAATCTGATTTCACAAGGGGCTTACTTATACGTATGTGGTGATGCGAAGGGCATGGCTAGGGATGTCCACCGAACTCTCCATACTATTGTACAAGAACAGGTAGATTCATGAGTCCTTTATATGCATTCTGATTCTTTTAGTTAATACATATTTTCCATTTTCTTTTCACTCGAATCATTTAATTTCCATTCAATATTGATCTTATCATTCAACCTCCTCTCCTATCACAAACTTCATTATGACTCTTAGCGAATAGCTCAGCCATCCAACAGTTCCAAATTCGTTGTTTGGACCTAATATTGTTGTTGGTCTATACGCTAACTACAGTTGCTTGATATCGATTTCAGGGATCTCTTGACAGCTCGAAAGCCGAGAGTATGGTGAAGAATCTGCAGATGAGCGGAAGGTATCTGCGCGACGTCTGGTGATGAACTCCCTCCATGTGTTCTCCAAAAGCATATATCAGAATATTTAACGAAAATTAGATCTGGTTGAATGAATTATTGAGAAGGTGTTTGCAAATTGAGTCCCTTTGTCAAGCTGGTCTTCTTCTCACATGGCAGAGGTTTAATTATAATTATATCGTCTTCTTTTCAATCCCCTTCTCTCCCATTTTGGTCCACAGCTCGTATGTGTTATTCTTTTGTTCGTGTAATTTATAAAATACAGATATATTCATTAGTTAGAGCTCTCGTTTTTCTATTCTAGCGTTCTAAGATGAACCAACAAGATGGTTCAGAACTTCAAGTTCATGTATACTTGTCTGTAACATTAAACAGATGAAATAATTTAGACTTTTTTTTGTCCATAGTGCCTTGTGCTCTCTCTCCCCCTCCCTCTCAATTTCATACTTGGAAAATTTTAGTCCACGTTTGACAGTCGGTTGAAATGGCAATTGTCTCAGTCTACACTTCTGGAAAAAAGGTAATTTCGTTTTGCTAAGATTTCTGAATCAATGTAAAAATTGGAATGAAATAATAAATACTAATTAACTACTTACAATTTTAATGTTGGCAATGTAAACATATGGTAATCTAAACTTTTCTCCGGCGTGTCTTATATTGGTTTATAAAGATATTAGCAAGTATCAACAAATTGTTATGGTTAAATTTTGAGGAATGTATTAACATGTAGAACAGTTGAGCATGCTTTTACCTTTCTATCCAGTGGTCTCATGCCAAAAAACGACCAAACTCTGAAAGTGGAATTCTACCATTTTATATATAGCAAAAAAATTTTGTACACAATGCAAAAGCCAATCATTATCAGAGCCAGGTTTCGATCCTGGGACCTGTGGGTTATGGGCCCACCACGCTTCCGCTGCGCCACTCTGATTTATATCTATGAAGCAACAAGCATTATATTTATATTATATATCCATGGTTTCAAAAACAAGTGATTTTCTTTGAGTGTGGCTTGGCGAATTGTTGGCCATTGGTTTTGCAGCTGCAAACATGTGGGTTGTCTTTGATGGAGTGAGAGTGATAGAAAGCAACTCCTAACCTTTGCAATTGCAACCCATAAAAAAAACCAAAAAAAAAAAAAAGAAAAAAAGGTAAGTCCCACATCATCCTCCTTTCCCTTTCGCACAGCTAGTTGTCAAGGTAGATAATTTTTTTTACAGTGCCTTTTCAACAGTACATTAAAAAAACATTTACATTTCGTTTTTTTACTCCTCTCTCTCCTTACTCCCCCCTTTTTTAACTGTCTGTTCGTTTTTATCTTACCTTATCACTCAATAGCATTTGTTTTATTTTGACCATAATTAAGTTTAACGTCTTTAACAATAATTCAATGAAACATGGAAACACGATGGCAACAATGCGGCTTCAAAATTCAAATGACGAGAATTTTTAGAAAGAAAATTGTGGAATAGACATATTCCATGAGAGGGTAGTCATAAAGATGTATTTATTTTAATATATGAATTGAGTAGAATAAAAGAAAGCAATGAATATGAGATCGTTCCTTGATTTATTTAAGATATATATATATAACAGATTCAGTTTGGTCGATTTCGAAATATGATCGTCTCGTAGAGATCGACAGTTAACAAGATTGAAAGGGAGAAACTGCAGCATTAACAACATGGTTTCATTTACATTGGTAAAAATTGATAATCTAAGTTCATAATCTGGCAAAAAAAATGCCAAGCACACTAAATAACCTGGTAAGAACTAAGAACCTCTCTGTCACACTGAGGAATGAAATAATATTATGCATTAAACATTCCCATAAAATGATAAGTTTGTATATCAGCAGGCAGCGGCATGAATCAAAGGTGAGGCCTCAGCTTTCTGAATCTTCAAAAGGAGGCAGACCCCATTCTCTGGGGTTGAAATCCAAGAGGGAACTCAACACTTGGTCTGCATCTTTACGATAGGAATCATCCAACCTTGGATCTGGAACCATAATTACTCTCCTGCTTTCCGATGGCAAAACAAGTTTTCAGTGACAATAACAATAACCAAAATTATTACAGTTAAATTGCGTTTCGATATTTGTTTCATTTTTTTGTTCTTTGTACTTCTGTAAACATATTGATTTGGTCTCTGATATAAATTCTAAATAAAAGCCAACATGCCATTACATAGATGCTTATGTAAAGCTCTATGTGATTCTGTGTCAGCTTCTAGTTACAGTTTAGACTAAATTGTCACCTTTACGAAAATACAACTAAAATGAATATAGAGACAAATATTACGAGTAAAGAAGCACATGGCCTAAAATTATAATTTAATCAATCATAGAATATATTTGGTTTCCTAGTCTACCTATAATGAGGTCCAAAACTAATAAGGGCAAGAAACTGTATATTTGAGTTTAGACATTGAAATCATGAACAGGCAAATATTTGAGTTTTGGACTAGCTAGGGAACTCCATCGAAAATACAAAATATGCAAAGTCAAAAACATTGGCAAAATTATGAATTATGATATGCTGGTCAAAATCAAATCTTTCACAGCCAGACTTATATTGAAAAACTGTGGCTGAGGAGTGCCAGAGATTAAAATTTCAATCAATTGTAAAAGATAGATGTAGCAGAGGCTATTGATGCAAAGTTAATCAAATTGGGTGGCAAATTTACTGCTGTTGGTAGTTGAGACTCAACAATGGTAATAAAGGCAACACACCCTTCCATGTTGAATTGAAACACATTTGGTCAAAACACTAAAATGGTAAAGAGCTATAATACGTAAGAAATTTAAATTCCCAAACTTACATTCCCGCACTTTTAGCAGCAAGAACACCTGATGGAGCATCTTCAAACACAAGGGTTCTGCTGGGATCTACGGGAGCATCCTGTTTAAAAGATGTGGCATAGCCACCATCACATTGTAGCACAAAAAGGGGAAGCACTTATATGCAAATAAACGACAGAGTGAACCAAGATTTTAATTAAAAAGTTACAACTATACCTCAAATCTTTTAGCAGCTGCAAGAAATACATCCGGTGATGGCTTTCCCTTCTTAACCTCTGGATCATCACCAAGAACAATGTGATGCATCAACTTAAAAAGTTCACCATGTCTTTGTGTTTTTAATTCAAAATGACGTCTATGAGATCTGTTGAAAATTTTCAGATAAAATAATGGTAGATAAATTATTTATTTTATAGCGATACAAACACAATCATAAAAGAGATAAAAAAGAACTATGATTTTAATAAGAATGGCTGGAATTTACAATGAAAAACTAGGCCAAAGCTATGAGCTATCATATAGAATGCTATACATACCCAGTTGCCAAGCCGAATGGTACTCCTTTTGCATGAAGATGTTTGATCAACCGGCTAGCTCCTGCAATAAATAGGCAAAATGGAGTGTAACTAAAAGCAATTTATGACAATTAAAAAAACGTATTTAAACATCAACCACTAGCTATTGCATAGAAAGAGAACACAGACACTTCAGAACAGGTGAGCGAATCTGAGATAAAACTTTGAAGTTTGTCTGTCTCGTGGCACTGTAGGTTAATTGGTCCCTAGTCTCACCTAAAAAGTACAAGATGCTGTGCTGTATTAAACTTTTGATAGGGACTGGAGAGTGTTTACATGTTCGCAAAATTGACTAGATTTGCTGGTCCCCATGTGGATATCTCCAATCATTGTCTTTCTTTTTAAATATCGAACTCTCTACTCTTATAGTTTCATTTCTTTTCCTTAAAAACACTCAACTCAATCAAATGCCGTCCTTTCTTTCTTACTTCTCAGTTTTTTCCTTTTATGTATGAAACGTTGGGACGGTGGTTCGGTACCTCCATGTCAGCCTTTCACTACCAGGGGGCTTGTTGGAAGTAGAAGACAGCCAACATAATTGACATGCACTGAGTCGACATCTCTTAAGTGATTTCAATTAACTGTTCACCATGAAATTTTGCCTTCCAACAAAAGGTACTAGTGACCAGTATCTGTGTATCATTTTTCAAATGCAGGCAGAATTGATAGAATAATTTTGAATCCTTGTAAAGTTATCATTTTCGTTCACATTGTGGATGTTTGACTTGACATCTCTCTCAAAATTCACGTGAATGCAATGAAATATGACTTAATTACAGAAAATGATCATAAGCATCAAGCATTCTCATAAGTGGTAATACTAACCTGGCATAAGCTCACTATTCGGAAATAGACTTCGTAGCATGTCCTCTCTTTCCACAAGAAAGTCCTCCGCACTAAGGGAATCACTAATTCCACTCTCTTCAACAAAGACTCGAGCAGCTTCTATAGCTTTCATACCCATCATCTTTGCCTTAAGTGACCAATCAAAAGTTTTATTAAATCTTGCCAAAATGTTCTCTTGTACTTTAGTGTAAAACACCTCAGTATCTGCAGTAGAAGAATTACATATTAGTTCATGAAAATTTTAACAGATATTATCTTTAGATCCAAAATCTCCCAACTGCTGAATAGTAGATTGTACTGAAAACAAGTACACGCTATAGCCAACCAAAGATTCAGGCACAGTCAATGCAATGGTGACCTAATCTCATACTTTAGCTTGTACAAAGCAGGATATATATTTTAGAAACCAGCGCGAATCAAGCAACAGTAAGTTGCTTACAAGCAGCAGTGAACAATATGCAATAATAATAATGATAAAAAGAGCAGCAGATCCGGGGGATAAATCCGGAAATTGGAGAATTGATAGGAAAGCAAATGACAACATAACAATGAGGAAGGAGAAAGGGAAGGAATATGAAAAGCGAATTTACCCAATAAGAGGCCGTCCATATCGAAGATAACATGAGTGATGGATCCTCTGGAAGGAGCGTCGGAGGAAAGATCCGCCATTGGAACAGTAGTTGCAGAGCGATTTGGGAACTTCAGCGGAGAAGAACGGACAATTTTGGATTTGGGATAGCGTATAAAGTTTTGAAGAATTCTATTCGGAGAGGTGCTCTGAAAAGACAGCATCATCGAACACGAACAAAACAGAATTAAGTAATCATAAGTAATTTATTTATTTTCTAAACTTTTAATTAAAATATTGTTATTTGGATGATCTGGAATTGATGGAAGAGTCGGTGACAAATAACGTAAAATCGGTGTCCTAAAAATACAATTTTATTAAAGAGACGGCGGATTTCGTATCAAGATTGGAAATTAATGGTTCTCAGAAAAAAAAAAAGGAAATTAATATTTAAAAAAAGAAGATTGGAAACCAATGTTTGGAATATTTGAAGCACATATCAAATAATTCCATATATCATCGTTATCTCTTAATAAATCATACCATATTGATTTTGTTTAGATTATTAATTGATTATGATTTACTAAAAAAAACTGTGCAAAATAAGTGCTACCAATAGAGTTTTTGCCTTAATTTACTTGGGTACATTTAAGGTAAAAGAAATGATGCATCGTTTTCAATATCCAATGTTAATAATGTAAATAAAAAATGAGGATAAATATAATTTTTTCTTCCTTCAAAAACCCCGATGGTCTCGCTTTTAATATTATCCCATAAACATTTTCAAAACAAAATATATATACATGGGAAATCCTTAGGAATGGTTACTTGGTTTGGGTTGACATTAGACTAGGCCCAATTACTGTATTATGGCCCAAAATACGCGGCAAAGGCTCGACGGCCCAAACTTTTGGTTGGGCCCAAATGGACAGCATGGGAGTGCCTTGATGGAAGCTGCTAAACTGAAATTGAGAGAATTTTTAATTCATTAAATTTGAGAAGCAAACTTAGCATGTATCTTGCACTTAAAACGTTTTAGTTTTAAATGACTGTTTGAAATCCAATCTAAATTAGCTAAAAGATATAGCTTGTACGTGTTGACATTTTATATATTAGTTATCTAATTTTGCTTTAAAAATTAGATGTTTAAGCAAAGAAATCGTACAAAAATAGCATTTCTGAAACTCTGGTTTTATAAAAAGCGTAAATATTATTTTCGAGAAGCTAAATTATTAATAAAAAGCCAACAAAATAATGTCAGAAATTAGATTAATAAACTTTTTTTGGGCTTAAAAAGAAAAAAAAAGAGAACATTATTGGGGGACACATGTAAACTACAAGGAAAGAAAACTTGATTGTTACAAAAGCCACTCTTATTTATTCTCAGAAAAAGGATGGATGTTGTTATTATTTTACTGTTCTTGTAATCAATGGGTTGAATATCTACTCCAAAATAGTAATAGTAGTAGTAATAATAATAATAATAATAATAATAAAATGTTAGAATCTCACCGGTCAACAACTTTTAGTTTGACTATTTCTTTGCCATCATTGTCTCTTTAATATTCTCAATTTCATTTTTAATCTTATAAATTTTCAAATCAATCATTCCGTTAAAAAATGGTTGAGTCCAACATTTATATATATATGGACTAATCTTTTAATTATCAATCGGTGAGTCCAAAAATATCACAAACTTAGAGAGCATAAGATCATGAATATATTATTCGACTCAATTTTTTTCCTTTTTTTAAACAAATTTTAACAAATGGCGCGATTGAAAATAAAATATTAAGAACTAAGTTGAGAATTAGAGTACAAAGATACTTGTCAGTCAATTTTATTGAATTTCCAAAGAGCAATTAAGTATTTTTAATGATTATATAATTCTTAAAATACAATTCCATGGGAAGAATTAGAATGCTGTAATTATTATAGTCCTCAAAAGTCCATATATTTTTCATTTATGGTAAAGAGCTATGTGTCCAAAACGTAGAAAAATATCAACACAGTAAAAAATTCTTAGAATATGGAAAATTGTAATTAAATGCTGTGACAAGGTCAAATAATACCACCTAAAGACCTACAATTTTTATTTTCTTTTTGAGTTGAAGATTTGGTTCCCAAAATTCTTCACATTGCATTTATGTAAGGTGTCTGATTTGGTCTCCCCAAGCACCATTTTTCCTTCCATCTTTCTGGAAGAACTCTCTCTCTCTCTCTCTCTCTCTCTCTCTCCCTTCTCTTCTCTCTCTTGTTGAAGCTATCGATTCTCAAGACTACATTTTATTGGCTCAAATGA